GGGGTGGGGGTTTGGATGAACAGATAGTGGAGTGTGGGGGGTGGAGATGTCAGTGGGCAGATAGATGAGTGGATGATGGCTAAGTGTTTGCGTGGATGGCTGGGTGATGGGTGGCAGGGTGAATGGATGGGTGGGTGGGAATTTGAGTGGTGGATGGATAGGTATTTGGGTGGGTGGCTGGGGGTCTGGGTGGGTAGATGATGGATGTTTGGGTGGATGGGTGGATGGGGGTCTGGGTGGGTTGATGGATGGATGTTTGAGTGGTGGATGGATGGGTGTTTGGATGAATGGCTGGCTGGGATCTGAGTGGGTGGATGGACGGATGATGGATGGATGTTTGGGTGGATGAGGGGGAATTTGGTGGATGGATGAATGGTTGGGTGGGTGGGTGGTGGATGATGGATGGGAGTTTGGGTGAATGGCTAGCTGGGGCATCTAGATAGGTAGATGGATAGATAATGGATGGATGTTTGAGTGGTGGATGGATGGGACTGTGTGTGTGTGATGGACAGACAGACAGATGGGGGTGTGGATGGCTGGTTGAGTACCTGTTGGGCCTTGGCTGTCTTCCCTGCGTCTCTTCAGCCTTCCATGCACCCCCAGTGTTTACTGAGGACTTACTTGGTGCCCAGCCCTGTGCTAGTTCCTGGGAACACAGAACTAACGAGGCAGACCCTGCCCCTACCCCAGGGGGGGTGTGAGCTACTGGGGTCTACAAGGGGTAGAGGCGAGATAGACAGTCACCCACAGAGAGACACCCACTGTAGACTGTGCTGTGGTCGAAAAAAGGCCAGACCAGGAACCTATGAGCCAACCCATCTCCCCTCCTCACCCTACTCCCTCCTGCCTCCAACCAGAGGCAAGGGAGGGACAGACTGACCCCCGGTGGCAGAAGGCAGTATGACATGATGAGCCTTCAAATTCTGGAGTCTGACTCGCAGTGCTGTCCCTTGCAAGCTTTCCCTCCTCTGGAAGCGAGTGATGTCACGTCTCTGAGCCCGTTTCCTCCTCTGTGAAAGGGGGATGATGTTAGCACCCGCTCCTTGCCGCCAGGGGGTCCGTGAGACCCAACAGACACGCTTAGCGGCCGGCAACACGTGCTTCAGCAGTGCGGGCTTTTCCTGGTGGGTGGAGCTGCGGGTGGGGGCTGGGTCTGCCCTGCGCCTCACCCCCAGCTCTGAGTGAGTGTGGTCTCTCCCCCACCCCCCAGTTTCCTGGAGCATTTGCACAAACATCAGGGCTCCGTCCTGCACCCCGACTACAAGACAGCCTTCCCCTCCTTTGAGGACGCCCTGCATCGCCTCCTGCCCTACCACGTGTACCAGGGTGCCCTCCCATCCCCCAGCGACTACCACAAAGGTGAGGCTTCCCAGGGCTCCGCACAGGGTCCCAAAGCTCCCCCACCTCTGCAGCCAGCCTGGGTGTGGGCGGGGTTTGCTGGTATCTGGCATGTACACACTGTGTACACGCCGGCATGTGCAGCTCTGTGTGTGAGCTCAGCTGTGTGAATACTTACCTCTGCTCTCAACCTTATACACACTCCACTGTGTGCGCACCTTCAGTTCTGCACTCAGCTGGAGGTAGATAAGAACGCGACTGAGAAAAGCTCAACATCGAGCAAGTTGAATTGTACGCGCTCGCTCCACTCTGTGCTCAGCTCCATGTGTGCTGCACTCTGTACACAGCTGTGTGTGCAGGCTCTGTGTACACACGCCACTCTGCTCAGCAGTGTTCACGTGCTCCACCATGTGTATGAACTCAACTCTGTGCACACTCGGCTCTGTGCACATTCAGCCGTGTGCACTGACGTACGGAAGCGCCGGTGCCGTGACTCGGCAGCTCCCTGTTCGTACCTGGGCTGCGGCCCCTCCAACATCCGGGCCTCTGGATCTCTTCTCTTCCACTGCAGTGGACGAGGAGTTTGAGACGGTCTCCACGCAGCTGCTGAAACGCACCCAGGCCATGCTGAACAAGTACCGGCTCCTGCTCCTGGAGGAGTCCCGGGTAAGGGCCCCTGGCGCCCCGCCAGGGCGCCTGCCCTTCTCTCTGGGCGGGAAGGGCCGCCCACTCGGCGGGGGCGGGAAGGGCCGGGGTGGGGCCTCCCACTCAGCGGGGTGGGGCGGGGTGGGGCTGGTGATTGCATCCCGCCTCTTGTCTCCTCCTCACCCACCTTCCCTCCATTCAGAGGGTGAGCCCCTCGGCGGAGATGGTGATGATCGACCGCATGTTCATTCAGGAGGAGAAGACCACCCTTGCCTTGGACAAACAGCTGGCCAAGGAGAAGCCAGGTAAGAGGGGAGGGAGAAGTGTCCCCACCCCACGTGCATACTAACTTCAGTTTGGGGCCTCGAGAGGATGTGTGTGGCCTTAACCTCATTCCACCACGAGGGGGCGCCCGAGCCCACACTCCTCCTGCCCGCCCTGCTCTGAAACCTTCAGCCTGGTAATAATGTGTCGGTTTCATCCCCGGGGCCTTGGGATGTGGGAGTATTTTGGCCCCACCCTGGGGGGTAGAAAACCCAAAGAGCAGGAGAGGGGGACTGGGATGAGGATGAGGCAGGTGAGGCACCCTGGTAGCAAAATTTAAGGTGGTGCTGGCTCTCAAGTACCGATTCTGGCTCACGTGCCCCTGAGAGTGAGTGCCTCCTTAAATCGTGCACCTTAGGGGTCTCTCAGCCCTGAAGGAGAGAGTGCACTTGAATCCAAACTGCTCGTGTCCTGCTGTGACATTCCGAAAGCCCTCACCCATGTTCAATGCTAACCAACACCTGTGCCTCCCTTGGAAAAAATGGAGGTTCATTTTCCCTGTTTCCTCCCCAGACCCCAGCCTTCAGTCCCGTCACCCTTGAGCACTGGGCCTTAATCTTGTTTTAATATGTCACTAGTCCCTAAAGGAGAAATTGCTGCAAAGAGGACAGCCATAGTGAACGAGGGCAGGGCCCAGTTTTCAAGTGTGTATGAGGGGGTATGACTGTGTGGTGGTTAGGGGCGTGGCCGAGGCAGACCACCTGGGTTCAAATCCCCTGCCACTTACTGGCTGTGTGACCTTGCACAAGTTACTTAAGCTCTCTGTGCCTCCATTTTCTCATCTCTAAAGTGGGGGTTGTGATAGTAGTCTACAGTCCCTGATGAAATCCCTTGGGGCCAGACAGGTTTTGTCATTTTTTGGACTCTTGAAAGGTAATGAGGTGCCTAGATTGTGTCTTTTAATTTGAAGTGGGGTCGGGACCTTTGTGGTCAAACACATCGGTAGTTCTGCACTGAGAGAAGATACTCAGACTAAACCGGAAACAGCCAGACCATAAATAGCCTCCCGTCTTTGCAGATCAAGGAATCCTGGTGGCACAACAGTTTGAGTGCTCAGCTATGAACCAAAAGGTTGGCGGTTTGTACCCACCCAGCTGCTCCATGGGAGAACACACCTGACCATCTGGCCCCGTAAACATCACAGCATAGAAACGCACTACGGGGCAGTTCCATTCTGTCCTCTAGGGGCGCTGTGAGTCAGAACTGACTCCATGGTAGTGGGTGTGGTTTGAGCTTTGCTTCTGTGAAGATTGACAGCCTTGGAGACCCTGTGGGGCAGTTCCACTCTGTCCTCTAGGGGCGCTGTGGGTTGGAATCGACTCCATTTCTCCAGCCACCACCACCATATTTCAGATCAGATGTTGATATCAAATGAGTTGAGAAAACTTTTTTTTGTTGTTTTCTTAAAATGTTGAGCCCAGCCAGTGGAAGTTTCCACAAGGGTGGCACTCTGTCTGCACCGTCGGTCCTGAGAGCCGACAGCCACCCTTGGCCCCTGCGCACCTGCCTTGTGGCGAGTGTGACCAGGGAACTGAATATTTTATTTGATACACTCTTAATGAATTCAACTTTAAATGGCCCCATGAGGCCATTGTTCATTGCTGTCAAGTCGGTTCTGATTCCTGGCGACCCCACATGTGCGAAGGTGAACTGCCCCCTAGGGTTTTCAAGGCATTCAGGAAGCAGATTACTACGCCCATCTTCCACAGCTCCCCTGGGTAGATTAGAACCGCCAACCTTTGGGTTAGTCAAGCACTTAGCCGTCGGTGGCACCTGCGTCCCCCGTCCCATCTGGCTGGTGGCTGCCATGGGCAATGTGGTCTTAGAGTTTGGAGGATCCTGAAGTTGCCCATGAGGGCTGTGTCTAGTGTGTCGTGAGAGTTCAGGGAGCAGAGGGTGGGAGGAGCCCTGCCGTCTGCACCTCACCCGCCTCCTCACCCCTGGGTTCTCTGTCCCCCGGTTCTGCAGACGAGTATGTGTCTTCCTCCCGCTCTCTCGGCCTCACCATCGCGGCC